CATCCCAAAGAGCTTGCAGTCTAGAATATGGATGTGGGACAACAAATGAGGGCAAGAATACTATAGAGTTGGGGAAAGTCAGGGTTTCCCAAAGATTGATTGATGTTTTCATCAGTCCCTGTACACTTAATAAGTAATGGTAAGAGTGCATGTATGTGTGTGAATAAATATAAATACACACAAATATTTCCTCTTTTTTTTTTTTTAGGCTTCACAGAAAAGGTAAGTTTTTGGGGGGAATTTGAAGGAGGAAAGGGTAGTGGTTTGGACCCGATAGTGAGCTTCACAATGCTTAATCTTAGGCGTGTAGAAGGATCACTGGAACCACACTGATTCACAAGACTAAACTCTCTACACAGTGAATGGGGAGGAATAGATTCCTTATAATCATCATCATCGTCCTTCATGCCCACTGGCGTATAGGGCAGCAAATTCTGTCTGTCTCTGGCCAGCTTCTCAATAGTGCCCCAAGTGTAATTCATCATTTCTGCTTTCACCACTGGCAGTCATACAAGTAAGTCACTGAAAGTGACTCTGGAAGGCCGTCACGCACATTTAAAAAGAAATACTTTTTCTAGGTTGTTAGCCCTGAGCCAAACCCCCAATGCTGGAGGACCGGTGTGCATGCTTAGTCTGGCTCCTCTCCCCTTGACCTTTCCATCTTGGTTGAACCTACCAGGAGCACTAAGCTCCTGCTGGCATAGCTCCTGGGATCATAAGAACATGCAAGCTGCCCTGCCCCGACAAGGCACATGCACAAGGGGCAGATTCCTTATAATGTGATCCACAAAGCCAGCAGGCTACGCAGGAAGCTGCTCAAGGCAGCCAATGGGAAATACTGATAAGAGAGATGATGCTAAGCCCTCAACTTTCTGAAGGAGATAGGCATTTAAGAGCAGGTTTGCAGGGAAGTCTCTCTCTGCTTGTGATATGCAGTAGGGCATAGTGTTGTCAATTAACTGATAAGCAAAAGCTTAGGTTAATGCTATAGTCTGACTACACACATTTCACTCCCCGCCAGTAAATTTTTTATCAGGCTGGCCAGCAGTCTGGCTTGGTCCTGACTTGCATCGGGTCCAGGACCTACCCCTGCTGCAGCTCTGCATTCAAAGTGTATTAGGAGCTGGGTGGGCAGGCAGCCCGGCTCTGTCCTGACTCATGCCACGTGCTATGGCTCTGCATTTAAAGTGTTTTAGGAGCCAGATGTACAGTAAGCCCAGCTCAGTTCCATCTCGCACCCGGTCCAAGAGCTCAGACCCCCATAGACAGGGGCTGCTGCCTCTTTATCAGAGGCTGCGTCACAGGGCGACAGGCAGCCAGACCTCAAGGGGGCTGTTTTTTAAATTGGCTCCCCTTGTGGACCAGCTCCCACCTGGCACCCCATACTGCTGCCTCTGATAGAGAGGCAGCAGTGTGAAGTGGCAGGGGGCTCCTCAGGAATGAGGCTAGAGTGCACTGGCTGCTGGCCCCGCTCCCAGGGACTGTAGAATAGTCTATTAACCAATAAGAATTAATGCTATTACTCAACTATTCAATTAACTGATATTTAATGTCCCTAATTTGCAGTGACGAACCCCCTCGAGTCACTTGGCATAGGTGTCTGAGTCAGCTCTATTAAGAATGAACTAAGCACCTGCCTCGCTCCCCACAAAGCAGCTGGAGGCAGTGCCCACCTTATAACTCTTAGCCAAGTGATTAGAGCAGTAGTCACCAACCAGTAGATTGGGATCTACTGGTAGATCTTGGAGCCTTTGACAGGTGATCCTGACGGTGAGCTGGGAGGCTATCTAGTGCTGGTATTTCATCTGCCCCTCTCAGCATTGCCATGCTGCTCCTGCCCTCTGCCTTGGAGCTGTCCTCCACCTCCAAGGGCCTCTTGCTTGTTGTACAGGGCACAGGAAGAAGAGGAGGGATGCTGATGTCAGGGTTCCCCCTCCTCCAATCCTGTACCTCATCTCCACAGAGCAGAACAGGGATTGGAATGGAGAGAGTTTGTTGGCTGCTTTTGGGAGTGGTGCAGGGTGAGAGTCTCCCTTAGTCCCCTGTACCACCACCCAGAAGCCACCTGTGGTAAGCGGTGCCCAGCTGGAGACAACATTTCAACCCCAGCCCCCATCCTGAACCCCTCCTGCACCACAAACCCCTACCCCCAAACCGCCCTCCAGAGCCTGCACCCTGAACCCCCTCGTGCACCTAAACTCCCTGTCCCAGGTTCAGCTCAGAACCCCTCCCACACTCCAAATCCTTTAGCCCAAGATCAGAATCTGCACTCCCTCCCCTACACCTCTGCCCCCAGTCTGATTAAAAACTTGAGTGAGGATGGGAAGAGGGGGAAGCTGGAGTGAGCAAGGGCGGGGCCTTGGAGCAGGGCCAGGAAGGAGCTAGGGCAAGGGGGGGTTGGGTTTGAGGTAGATCCTGGATTGCACTTAAATTCAACAAGTGATCTCATGCTTTAAAAGGTCAGAGACTACTTGATTAGATCATTCATCTGGGATGTGAGAGACCCAGCCTCACTTCCACCCCCTTAGCAGAGGAGAAATAATTTCCAAAGGGATTTCCCATCACTCAACAAATTGTTCTAACCACTGAACTATGGGCTAGTTTGAGGTAGGGTTCCCACCACCTCACCTGCTGAAGCTGTTCCACTATGGATAAATACATCACTAAGCATGGGAGTCAGGTATAATAGACAGGGGCAAAACGCCAGCTTCACCCCAGAACGCCTACGGTAGGTGCACTGAGGGCAGAGTGTTGCTGCTCCCAAGCAGCCTCTCTCCCCATGCTTCAGGCTGGAGAGGATGGAGCCACACACCCTCCTCCTTCCCCATGCTCCGGGGCTGGAGAGGCTGGGGATGCATGCTGCCCATGCATGTGCTTTGGGGCCAGGGAGGTTGGAGCCACATGCCTTCCTCCCTTCTTGTGCCTGGGGCCCAGAAAGCTGGGGCCACATGCACCACTTACCCACCCCATGCTCCAGGGCCAGGGAGGCTGGGGCTGCACACCCTCCTCCCTCCCTGTGCTCTGGGGCTTGGGAGGCTGGGACATGCACGCCCACCCACCCTATTCCCCTCCCTGTGGTTGTGGAGGGATAGGGAGGCACCCATGGGGGGGGTGGGGCCTCATCTGAAGGGGTGGAACTGGGGGGCTTGCCTCCCCCAGCCCTACCTTCATCAACCGTGCATGTCACTAGGCCAGGGAGCATGAGAATGATGTCTAGCAAGGAGAGTAACACTGGAGAGCTGGGAGACTGAGGAGCCCCAATCCTCCTGCTCCACTCAGTATTTGTCTGGAATACAACTTGGGTGCGTCTAGACTGGCAAGATTTTGCTCATAAGCAACTGCTTTTGCGCAAAAACTTGCTAGCTGTCTACACTGGCCGCTTGAATTTGCACAAGAGCACTGACTTTGTAATGTACAAAATCAGTGCTTCTTGCACAAATACTTTCATGCTCCCACTCGGGGAAAAAGCCCTCTTGCGCAAGAATACTTGCACAAGAGGGCCAGTGTAAACAGGGAAGAACTGTTTTACGCAAAAAAGCCCCGATGGCTAAAATGGCGATTGGGGCTTTCTTGCATAAAATCGTATCTAGACTGGCCATGGATGCTTTTTGCACAAAAGCACTTTTTGCGCAAAAGCATCCATGCCAATCTAGACGCGCTTTTGCGGAAATACTTTTAATGGAAAAACTTTTCCGTTAAAAGTATTTCCGCAAAATCATGCCAGTCTAGATGCAGCCCTCATCTTCTAACAACCTCTGTCATAGACAAAAGTGTGTGTGTCTGTGTTAAAGTAATACCTAGTTCCCTCCTGTATTCTTTACTCAGGACTGACTGTCAGATGTCATGGAAAATCTGTAATATTTGTGTAATTAGTTTATTAGATATGAACTGCAATCAACAGCTGAGCTTTACATTTTGCCCTGCTAATAAAAATACGTCAGAGATTTGTTCTGGGTACCCATATTGTTCTGAGTGTATTAAGTTACATAAAAACAGAGAAGAGTGAGATCTTTCAAAGTTCCAGTTGGTATCCCGACCCCACTGATTCAGTGGTTGTTCAATGTTCAGTGTTCCTGGTTTAAAGGAACTGTATCATGCAATACTCAAATACTACAGAAGATTTTGAAAAATTGTGTTATAGACATACAGTCTAAACAGGCTTGTTTAACAAGAGTTATTTAACAGCAGTATAGAAACTCTCGTTTTGATTATGCGCAAGTCCTACAAGCTGGCTAGAATTTTCATGATAAATTATTGAAGTTATCCCTTTTTTTGCACAGTAAAACATTTGCAGTAGTAAAATCTGAAGGATGTAAACGTGGATTGTATTTTATAGCACTTATCTTAGTTAACTCTTGCAACGGTCTCTCTTTCTTATAAGAAAAGTAAATATTGTAACATCTTTTATTATGTAATATACTCCTCGAAATTTAGAAATAGGAAAAAAAATCCAAGTTGATCTTTTTAATCTCAAAACTGTCATTTGGCTGCCTGAGGGCTTTGGCAGATTCCTAATTTTGTGCTCATTTAATTACAAAGGGGTGCTACTAAAAACACTGGCCAGCATTTTCAAACATTGATATGTAAATGCATATTTAGGCACCTAAATAACTAGCCTGATTTTCAGGGATGTGAACAACAGCATGTCCTATTAAAGTCATATTGGTAACTGCTATCACCTGCTTTAGAGTACAATATGCCTCAGGAGCACCTGCACCCCTGATCTGAGCTGTTAAGTAAGAGCCCTGGAAAAGGTTTGAGGAAGCTGTTTATACTCCTCCCTTCCTTGTGAAGTAACTGAAAAATTAGCATGTTTAAACTGGTAATGACTTGCTGTGCTGGCTTGAATTTATTGCTGTCTATTAGGTGAACTTTGTCAAAAAATTGCTCTGGGTTTCTCAAAATAAATGCAGTGCACGTGGGCTGCTGTTCTATAATGATTCATGTACTGTTTCTGTCAAACAAGTCTTAAACATTACTCTTATTCATAAGAGTCTTACCTCTCTAATATCTGAAACACTGGTTTGGTTTGTTTTCTATTCACAGAATGGACTGAAGACATTTTGCTTCCTGGTGTTTGCTGTCATCTGCCTTGCTGGAGCTACTTATCTGTTTTTAGTCCTGCCCGAAACAAAAAATAAGACCATTAATGAAATCAGCCAGGCATTTGCCAAAAGAACTTTAGAAGGACGGGAGATGAGCCAGTTTTCATCAGAAACAAAATCAAGTGAAGAACAAGAACATAACTTCCCTTCTACAGTGGACAATGGTGAAATTAAAAACAGAATAATATAACAATTCAGCGTTCTTTGTAAGGGGAAAAAATACTCACATGCTCTTCTGGCTTCGAAAGCATGTGATAGTTCTAGCAGTTCAGCGTTTGTGTTATTAATACCTCTGTTTATGTGCTTTTTTTCAATTCAGAGGAATATGGGCATAGGGCAAATCAGTGTCAGCTGGGAAGGTTCTGGAGGGAAGCTGATATATGAAGGATCATGACGTCTGATGGGAACAAGATCCCGAGTTTCCAGGAAACCTATGGAATCGATCATCAGGTGGCGGGAGGGGGATAGGATCAGGCACAGAGAAGGGAAGCTGGATTATCAATGGGAATTGGGTAGAGCGATCCTGTGCAAGGACTGGCTGATCAGTGTGCAGATAAATGTAGCAGCTACATGCCCGCTGATACAAGTGGACCTATATGCCAGTGTCAGAGATTGAGTGTCTTGGTGGACATGAAGAGAAGAGGGGGAGAGGCAAGTTCTCTCATCTTTTCCCAATATGCTATTAAAGTTGCACATCAAAATGAAAGGGACACGATCATGGTATTTTTTACATCATTTTTTAAATTTTAGCTGCTGTTCCACCTTTCAAGAACCTCTCTCATTCCCACTGACTTCAGAAGATGGAAACAGCAATTTGTTTCCACAATTACTGACGCACATTCTCCCTCCAACCCACAAATACTGGCTATAGAGCTAGATTTCTGGCATTGGGTTTCTGTTTTTTAAAGCAAATAGCAGTGAAGCATTTCTTCTAAAAACAAAAATTTCATATATTCTGAATTAATAGGGTTATGAGAAAAATTAATGAAATATTGAGTTACCCAGACTTTAACTTTGACAATAGTAATACTTTTAAAAGCATGTTAGCCCTATTTTCAAAAGTGATTTAGGAGCTTAAGTCTTACTAAAGGCCTATGAGACTAATGCACTGAAGTGCCTAAGGACATGTCTTCACTGCCTAAGGACATGTTTTCACATGCTGCAACGGTTCATCTTTTGGCATTCGATTTAGCTAGTCAAATAAAGACCCACTAAATCAAATAGTGAGGACACCCCTGTTGATCAATTGCAAGGAGTAAGGAAAGTCAATGGGAGTGTTTTTCTCATCAACCTCCTACTGTGGGGATGGCACCGAAACTCAGCTTAAAGTACATCGACTCCAGCTATGTTATTTATGTTGCTGGAATTGTGTGTTAAGCCAACTTTCAGCTCTAGTGTAGACCTGCCCTGAGTCAGATTTCAAAATAGGGCATAGACCCTTAACTCTTATGGTGCTTTTAAAAATGTTATCCAATGTTCGTTTAATTTCATAATAGAACAAGAGCAGGGATTTCTGGTCTGTGATGACAACAAGGAGTCCCGTTTGTATGGCACCTGAAACAGATGCATTGATGAAGTTGCATGCAGCCCACAAAAGATTATGCACAAATAAATTAGTTAGCCTTTAAGGTGCCACAGGACTTCTCATTATTTTTGCTAAAATAGATTTAACACAGCTGTCCCTCTAATATTGATTTGTGATGTTTACTCTTCCTGAATCTTAGAGTTTTTAGGCAAGCTATGGCTCTCTTTCATATTTTTCAATTGTTTTCCTTGAATAACTGAAGTACCTAGTTATTATTGGGATAAGCACTTTTGAAATAAAATAACAAAGAGCATCATTTTATATAAAAATAACAAATCCAAAGCACTTAGAGGTCCTGGGATAATTCCTGAGTGAGCATGTGCAATATTTTAGGGTTCCTTGCCTCACAACAGGACCAAGTCTGTGACATCTCTGACAGGTGTCTGTGTAACCCACACACCTAGAATCATAGAATCATAGGACTGGAAGGGACCTTGAGAGGTCATCGAGTCCAGCCCCCCGCCCTCAAGGCAGGACCAAGCTCCACCTACACCATCCCTGACAGATGTCTATCTAACCTGTTCTTAAATATCTCCAGAGAGGGAGATTCCACCACCTCCCTTGGCAATTTATTCCAATATTTGACCACCCTGACAGTTAGGAATGTTTTCCTAATGTCCAATCTAAACCTCCCCTGCTGCACTTTAAGCCCATTACTCCATGTCCTGTCCTCAGAAACCAAGAGGAACAAATTTTCGCCTTCCTCCTTGTGACACCCTTTTAGATATTTGAAAACCACTATCATGTCCCCCCTTAATCTTCTTTTTTCCAAACTAAACAAGCCCAGTTCATGAAGCCTGGCTTCATAGGCTTCTCTAGACCTTTAATCATTCTTGTCACTCTTCTCTGTACCCTTTCCAATTTCTCCACATCTTTCTTGAAATGTGGCGCCCAGAACTGGACACAGTACTCCAGCTGAGGCCTAACTAGTGCAGAATAGAGCGGCAGAATGACTTCACGAGTTTTGCTTACAACACACCTGTTGATACAACCTAGAATCATATTTGCTTTTTTGGCAACAGCATCACACTGTTGACTCATATTCAACTTGTGGTCCACTATGACCCCTAGATCCCTTTCCGCCATGCTCCTTCCTAGACAGTCGCTTCCCATCTTGTATGTATGGAACTGATTGTTCCTTCCTAAGTGGAGCACTTTGCATTTCTCCTTATTAAACCTCATCCTGTTTACCTCTGACCATTTCTCTAACTTGCTAAGGTCATTTTGAATTATGTCCCTATCCTCCAAAGAAGTCGCAACCCCACCCAGTTTGGTATCATCTGCAAACTTAATAAGAGTACTCTCTATCCCAATATCTACATCATTGATGAAGATATTGAACAGTACGGGTCCCAAAACAGACCCTTGAGGAACTCCACTTGTTATCCCTTTCCAGCAGGATTTAGAACCGTTAACAACAACTCTCTGACTACGGTTATCCAGCCAATTATGCACCCACCTTATCGTGGCCCTATCTAAGTTATATTTGCCTAGTTTATCAATAAGAATATCATGCGAGACCGTATCAAATGCCTTACTAAAGTCTAGGTATATGACATCCACCGCTTCTCCCTTATCCACAAGGCTCGTTATCCTATCAAAGAAAGCTATCAGATTAGTTTGGCATGACTTGTTCTTCACAAACCCATGCTGGCTATTCCCTATCACTTTATTACCTTCCAAGTGTTTGCATATGATTTCCTTAATTACCTGCTCCATTATCTTCCCTGGGACAGACGTTAAACTGACCGGTCTATAATTTCCTGGGTTGTTCTTATTCCCCTTTTTATAGATGGGCACAATATTTGCCCTTTTCCAGTCTTCTGGAATCTCCCCTGTCTGCCATGATTTTTCAAAGATCATAGCTAAAGGCTCAGATACCTCCTCTATCAGCTCCTTGAGTATCCTGGGATGCATTTCATCAGGACCTGGTGACTTGCTGACATCTAACTTTCCTAAGTGATTTTTAACTTGTTCTTTGTGTATCCTATCTTCTAAACTTACCCTCTCTCTGCTTGTATTCACTACGTTAGGCACACCTCCAGACTTCTCGGTGAAGACCGAAACAAAGAAGTCATTGAGCATCTCCGCCATTTCCAAGTTCCCTGTTACTGCTTCTCCCTCCTCACTAAGCAGTGGGCCTACCCTGTCCTTGGTCTTCCTCTTGCTTTTAATGTATTTATAAAAGGTCTTCTTGTTTCCCTTTATGCCTGTAGCTAGTTTGATCTCATTTTGTGCCTTTGCCTTTCTAATCTTGCCCCTGCATTCCCGTGTTGCTTGCCTATATTCATCCTTTGTTAGTTGTCCTAGTTTCCATTTTTTATATGACTCCTTTTTTATTTTGAGATCATGCAAGATCTCCTTGTTAAGCCAAGCTGGTCTTTTGCCATATTTTCTATCTTTCCTACACAGCGGAATTGTTTGCTTTTGGGCCCTTAACAACGTCCCTTTGAAATACTTCCAACTCTCCTCAGTTGTTTTTCCCTTCAGTCTTGCTTCCCATGGGACCTTACCTACAAGTTCTCTGAGCTTATCAAAATCTGCCTTCCTGAAATCCATAACCTCAATTGTGCTGGTCTCCCTTCTACCTTTCCTTAAGATCATGAACTCTATTATTTCATGATCACTGTCCCCTATACTGTCTTCCACTTTCAAGTTCTCAACTAGTTCCTCCCTATTTGTTAAAACCAAATCCAGAACAGCTTCTCCTCTGGTAGCTTTTTCAACCTTCTGAAACAGAAAGTTGTCTCCAATGCAGTCCAGAAACTTATTGGATAGCCTGTGCCTCGCTGTGTTAGTTTCCCAACATATGTCTGGATAGTTGAAGTCCCCCATCACCACCAAATCTTGGGCTTTGGATAGTTTTGTTAATTGTTTAAAAAAGGCCTCATCCACCTCTTCCACCTGGCTAGGTGGCCTGTAGTAGACTCCTAGCATGATATCACCCTCGTTTTTTACCCCTGCATGGGCTGAGAGTCAACTGGCTTTTAGCTCAAAAGGAGAGGCTCCTAGACTAAGTTCCAGAGATCCCAAGTTCAAATCCGCCTGGTGGCCGTTACGATTGCTCAGCTGTAAACACCAGTAGTTTACTGACATGTTCTATGGCATGTTTATTCTCCAGCCTACGTTACACAGCAGGGCAGACAAAATTATCTAATCAGCTGTATTAGAGCTCCTAGGTGGCCCTCCAGCCTCTACCAAGTAACTTATTCATATCTAATGCAGCAGGTCTGACACTACACCCAGGAGAAGACTGAAGGCCGCATGCTCCATCCCAACACAACTTATTTAGGACTTACGTCATTAGCTGCGTCTCAACCCCTGGCTCCACCAGGGACCCGTCGACAAAAAGCGGTGTTGACGTGAAGGCATATTTACTCCAGGATGTTCCTTCATCGAAACTCACCCTGGAATCGAAAGAGACCAAGTAAACAAATGTAAAAGGATGGCTCTGGGACTATTAGCTACACAATTAAACAACTTTTAAGGCTTGCGAGCCACCGCTGCTGGATTTATAAACAAGTGTCAGTCTTTGCTATCTCCCCATGTCATTAATTAATGTTCTACAAGTGCTGTGAGGAAGCAAAGTGTACTGTGATCTTTCTGCAGTACTCATTCCTAAACAGTCACTTCCCATTCTGTATATTTGAAAATGATTGTGCATTGCATTTCTCCTTATTAATCTTCATCCTATTTACCATTTCTCCAGTTTGTCCAGATCATTTTGAATTATGACCCTATCCTCCAAAGCACTTGCAACCCCTCCCAGGTTGGTATAATCTGCAGAGTTAAGAAGAGTACTCTCTATGCCAATCAGACCCAGCCAAAGCGCGTGCAGAGCCCAACGCAGCATGCTAAGCTGCACTGCCGTATGGCTTCCAGCCGCGTAGGTAGGGATGAGAGCTGGGCAGCACAGGGCCCTGAATGCATGGGGCCCAAGGTGACTGCCTCGCTCGCCTTGCCCAAAGGCTGGGTCTGATGCCAATATCTAAGATATTGAACAGAACTGGTCCCCAAACTGACCCCTGCAGAATCCCACTTGTTAGGCCCATGACTGTGGACCATTAATAACTACTCTCCGAGAACGGTTATCCAGTCAGTTGTACACCCACCTGTAGCCATTTGGGCTCATGCTGGAGACTGTCTCCAGGACTCTGTGAAGCAGAAGGGTCCCAGAGCTCAGATTGCAACCACAGCTCAAACATCCACTTCCCGGTTAAGCAACCTCTTAGCCCAAGTTCCCTGAGCCAGAGTCAGCTGCCACAAGCCAACTGCAGGTGTCAGTCACAGTTAAATACAAGGCAGAACACATTGTTTAGCATAAGTATTTAACATATATTTCAAGGAACTATTCTAAGTGAGGTGGCCAATAAGGGAAGGAAAAAACAATAATCTATAGTCCCCCCACCTCAACTTTCTCCTTCCCTACATCCTTCCCATCTCTCCATCTCCCATGACTGAAGAGGCGTTAACTTCAATAGATGTTGACTACTTGCACTAAACAATCTCTTCCCCCTTGTATTAGCTGTCATGTTGAGTACATTTCCCAGACTTGTAGAGCTCTGTGTAAACTAAACAATGTTTCTTATCAGTAGAGGTTGATCCATTAAAAGATATTACCTCACCCACCCTGTCTCTCTAATCTTACATTGTGATTGTATGTTCACATACCAGCTATGTATATTAACCATTACTAGAAAATTACCGGAGCGCACTTTTATTGATTGGTGATAGGAAAGGGTGAAGTTCTCCATACCAGATATTATTTCAATATATAATCTGGGTAATGCAAAGGAGAATCAGACTGTTTTTTAATACTAAATATTAAATATTAAATATGCCAGTGGACAGGGGTATATGTGGGGTGAGGGGAGGGACAATGCTTGATGTTAATGCCAGTCCCCTGCTAGTCTCCCTGGGCTGCATCACTTGGAGGCAGGGGCTTAGGGAAAAGACAGAGTAGAGGCAAGGCAGAGATCGTGCAGGGGCAGAGCAGGGATGGGGGAGATGGTGGATGAGGGTTGGGCAGGCATGGGTGGGACCTGGGGCAGAGGGGGCATTGGTTAAGCCCTCCCCCAGGCTAGAGTTGGCAGGGGGAGGAGTCATGTGGGGGCAGTCACGTAGCAGGTGCCCACCTCCTGTGTCCTTCCTCATCATTTGCCCTAGCAGTGGAGAATCATATGCTGAGATTAATCAAATCTTTAGGGAAAAAATACAGAGATGTTTTCTTCAAGAAAGTATTTGGAACTGCATAGCTCTTGTGCTTTGTCTCTCTATTTCCACAAAGGTTCAGAGCAGCTTGAAAGGGGAGCTGGTTTGGTCGGCGACAGCCTGCAGGTACCCTGACCTGCGGATAGAGACCCCTGGGAGTAACTGCTGTTTAGCTGCTTGTAGGGTTCTGGAGAACCCCGGGAGCA